GATAGCCAAGAGATAGATACTATGCCAGTCAGAGTATCGCAACCGAGTAGCTCACGAAGGCAATCCCGAGATGAAGAACTACATGTACCACGATGACGACGGAGGATACCGAGTAACCGATCACTGGTGATCGTATTTGAGATCGAGCCTGCTTACGATGGTTCACCAGAAGGCGTGTTTGTAGGACAATTTCACAATGAGGACACGAAAGTTCATGCTTGATCAAAAGTCGAAGGCGTGGGCCACTACCATTGGCTTCAAGGGTCGATGAACCACTTGCCTCGTGAACAACAGTTGGAGTTCATAGCAGAAGTTATGCGACAGATCTTCATTTTCTTGCGTTGGTACTGATCAACAACATTACTTCTCAGAGACCTCGAAGCTAAAGGAGGGGGTGATGTTAGGGACATATTCCTTAGAACTTTCTAGAGAGAAGTTTCTAGAACCTTCTAGAAAATAAGCCTCTGGAACCTTCTAGAAGAGAAGCCTCTGAAACCTTTTAGAGAGAAGTTTCTAGAAGCTTCTAGAAGGGAAGTCTCTGGAACCTTCTAGAAGAGAAGTTTCTAGAAGCTTCTAGAAAGGAATCCCCTGGAACTTTCTAGAAGCTTCCTAGTTAATAGAAGTAGCTCGAGAAGTTTCTAGAACCTTCTAGAAAGGAAGCCTCTGGAACCTTCTAGAAGCTTCCTAGTTAATAGAAGTAGCTCGAGAAGCTTCCTAAGTAGGAGTATATATAGGGATCGAGGCTGAAGAGTTCTTCAGTCTCGACAACACATCTCTTGGAGTTCTAGCTCACCTTTCTGGTGTTGTTCTTGTACTCATCTGTTTAATCTAATTCTGTCACTTCTTCTTGAACTTCTTGTTAGATTTCAAGTTTGTATTTTGTGTCCGTGACAATACACTAGAATATGAAGAAAGAGTTTAAATAAATATATCTCTTTTTTATTTGCATAGAAACTTTCTACATACCTGCACTATTAAAGCTAAACTTTCTTACTTAAAATCTAAATTATTTGCTACCAAGTTACTTGTGTTTTTGAAAGGATGCCTTTTCCAAACACATACAATGGTAGCTAAACTCTATAATCTCATCGTTCTAACATTCTAGTAGAAGAATTAAAATCAACAATTGGAGCAACTATGAATGAATTTGGCTATGAAATATAATACTTATGCAGCAAAAAAGCTAAATTTAATACCATCTATAAAATTTGGTTTATTATGGTTAGAGTGGCTTATGCCTCAAAAGTAATACATAATTTTATCTTAAATAGAGTTTTCCATGATAAATTAATTCGTGCATATACAAGTATCTCTAGAATTCTTCTAGTAGCAAATAGATAGAAATAATAAATTATGAAAAGGGACTATTGAGGTAGAAGACTACAACCATGATCCTATTCTAACTCTTTTTATATATTCTAATGTAATCATCTTGTCTTTAAATGATATTGTTACTATTATATATATAAATTAGATAAGGTTGCTCCTAGAATAATTATCTATGGTCTTTGCTAGCAAAACAATATTTTACAAGTCATTGTTTAAAATATATACAATGCCAAACAATAATTCCATGTACTTAATCTATAGGATTACACTTTAAAGAGAATATTGTTGAATAAATTGCATACAAATAGTATTTTTTATACTTTCAAATGTAACATTGTTAGTTGCCTTACACATCTATGATTAACTCAAAGGAATTCTATGGCCCTTGCAAAAGACTTTCTCAAAGTTTTGCTAATGCATTTTACAAACAAAATCCATTGGTATTTTTTCTATTTTCTATCTTTATGTATATTTTAAAAGTCTTCATCATGATGATTGTTTATAAAAGATGCCTTGATTGCTTTGTCTTGTTGGTGCTACCTAAGTAAAAAATAACATAATAGGTATGAGTTGTTTCTTTGTGTATGTGGAATTTAATTATTGATTGAATTATTTATCAGATTATATATACAATTGGCATTTGGCTTTTCTTATACATATTAGTAATAATCTTTTTATTTTTATTACATGTTCAAGTTTAACATGCCCCTCTTACTCATTATTGGTAATACAACTACCACCATATTGTTTTTTATTAGCTTTAACTTTATGCAAGACAAAATAAATGTAGATAAAATAGGGGCTATAGAACAAGTCCGCAATATTTTGGGAAATGGAAATGCACCATGGATGATAGTAATAGGCAAAGAACTAGCATTAATGGAAGCTATTGAGAAGGTTTTTAGAAATATTGTGACCAACTTGCTTTGTGCTTGGCAAAAGTTAAGAGGTGGTTAAAAATCAATGAGGATTTTGAAGCCTTTATACAACATTGAAGGAATATTATTTATATTGATGCAAAAAATATATTTTCAAACTTTGTAAATAGAGCTATAAAGAGCTCAAGCCATCAAGAAAGAAATTTTTATTTACTTGCAAGTAATTTAGATTCTAAATTAGGCTCACTTTATTTGCATATAGATAAGAAAAGTGATGCGTTTTGGGCATTTAATTACCTCTTGTATAAAAAGAAATTACTTTGTTGTAAAAGAAATAATTATAGTATGAATTAAGAACTTAAACACATGTACAATATAATCATTCTAACCATGGAAAGACAAGATTATGCCATACATCATAGAATTGCATACAAATCCACCAAAATTTAGTACTTGCAAAACAATTCTTTTTAAAGAATCTCCTACTATGCTTTGCATAAGCTTAAGGAGTTAAAAAAGCAACTTACATAGTGGACAACCATGCAATCTTAAATTGCATTAATATCCTACAAACAATAATAGATCTTTTATATTTCTACAAACTAATATGTTACAAATAGCAATTAATTTGTGGAAGTATAAAAGTTCCATTAATATTTTTATCAATAGTGGTGGTTAAAAAAAACTAATATTTTGCAATGGCAATACTTCATGAAGATCTCTTATGGCATCAACAATACATTTTGGATCAATAGGTTTTACAAACAAAATACAATATAGTAAATCTGTAAAATGCATTCACAAAAAGAAGACATGTTGATAGTGTGACTTTCCTTCCTTCTTTAGCACCTAAGGGAATTTTTTTATTTGAGTTGATTAATAAATAAATAAATAAAAATCTTGTGAGGAGTATAAAGAAATTGGTCATAATAAGCATAGTTTTTCATAATTATTGGAAGGGTTAAGACCATAAAATATAAAATAATTATATAATAATATTATTTTTTGTATGTAGAGGTGTGTAGCATAGAAGATGTCTATGTAATAAAATGAAGGAGTCTACCTAATTTTTCTTTTTATATTTTATTACATCCAATAAATAGATACTATCTTTAATTGATATTTAACTTCATTTATTCTATATTTTTATTTAATTATAATACATATTAATATTTTATAAAATTATTTTATAAAATATCTAAGAAGCAATTATAGCTTATATAGTAAAATTTTCAATTGAAAAAATCTTAAGTTTTTTAATATTATTTATATTTTATATAATATAAATAATATTTAATATGGCTAATTCATTAAAGTTATTGACTTTAGATAATTTTATAATATAATTTTATTTAAAAAAATAAAATTTTCTTTATTTTGAGACTATTATTGAAAAAAATGCTTTATAATACATAAATCTCTTATATTAATAAAGCTTTAAACTAATATAGGTTATTTTGATGTAATTTCTTTCTTCTACTCTTTTATTCTTTTTATCTTCTATAGATGTAATTTGATGCTACCATACATCCTAATAAGTTCTAAATCATTTATTATTTTTTGTATCAAAATTTTAATCTTTTTTATTTATATATTAAGTTATTTTAAATTTAATTAGTTAGTTTAAATTTTAAATAAATAAGTGTAGAACTACTTTTTAAAAATCAAGCCAACACATTAATAAAAATTGTACCAAATTATTCTTTTATAAAAAATAATACATATACAAAATTATTCATATTAAAATTTGAAACAAAATATATAGCATTATAAAATAAAATATTAAAAAAAAATCTTTTGTAGAAATATTAATTTAATAGTATATAAATATTAATATTTTGTATATATATATATATATATAGCATGATGTTTTAAATTAATAAAAACATATTAAATACAAGAAATCTAATAATTTAAGAAATATAGAGCTTATTAAGAAAAATATGCAAAGAAATAAATGAAGTATTAACAATAATATTTTGAAAGATAGAAATGTAAAAATTATAAAATATACAATGATGTCTGAATTAAATAATTCTAGTTTGGTCTCTATAAATAAGTTTAAAAAATATAAAATAATTTTTTATGTATTAGTTTTATAACTTCTATTGTGTAAAATATCAATACAAATATAGATATGTAGATATATAATTTTTTTGTTCTTAGATTAAATTATGTTTGCGATAATAAAAATAGATAAATACAAAATAATCTATTTTGTCTTTGATGTATATTAAGAATATACTTCAAGATTATTAAATAGTTCTTATAAATAAATTATACTAAGAACTTTTGTCTTAGGAAATAATAATTTTGTGTTAAAAAACTTAAATGACATTTAAAAAGAATTTAATTTTAAAGAAAATATATTAATTGAATCAAATATAAGTTTCAAAATATAAGAGCTATTTAAATAACATATTGAAAAGTAGTTGTAGAAAGTAAAACAAAGTTTTTTACAAAGCATAGATCTGCCTTGTGATAAAGCAAATACTATAAGGTTTGTAGGTGCATTGTCAATAGGATTTTAAATAGAACCAAAATTTTAAAAATGTATACATGGCCTCCAACATTGAGTGTTATTGAATTTTATGTAATTAGACCACAATTTTATGAAGGTTGAAGGAAAATTCAAAAAACTTTTAAAATTTTCTTCCAGAGGTGATTCTTGCCATGGGATAGCAATGCAAACTCTGTAAGAAAAAACATATGCAAGAGTAAAGAATACTTTTTCATTTCACTCACTCTAATTTTCATGACTTCAATGGTCTCAAAAAACCTGGAAGACGGTAGTCAATACCAAGGTTGCAACTCCTAGTATGTATTGTATTGACAGTTGAAATAACTACTGAAAATTGGGTCGCCAAAACATTCTCTTAGAATATTCCGTAAGAGCAAAGAGATACAACTGAATGTTATGTCTTTTGAGTATCTTGTGCATGCAAAATCATATGGTGTGCTAAATACCCGGCAGGAATTATTGTATAATCCACAGTTGAGAACTTCCTGGCTTAGTTCTGACTTTAGTTCAACTAGACTGGCAGGTAGAATTCAAGCATGCAGAAGTTCACATTTGATGTCATTACACACCACCAATTTGGTGCAGCTGAAGTCCAATTGCTCCCCGCCTTCTCACTCAACGAATTTACTAAGGATGATTTCCTCAAGTATTTCAAAGTCGTCATTGTCGCCATCGGCACTGTCATCATATGCGTCAATGTCATAGGAATCAGAATCCTCAATGCCACGCAACCAGTCTGTCGCATCTATGCCTCTGCCATCAGGATCATCCGAATAGTCATCATCAAAGAGACCACCATGCCTAAATATATGTTTGAATGCTGGTTGATCTAATGCTTCGTCCTGTCGCCTGAGCTCATTGAGCGCGGGGTCTTTACTGGTTTGTTTCTTAACTTCCCAGAAACAGTGTTGAACCTCGCCAATAATGTTCTCATCGGATCCACGGAAAATAGATTGAGATTTCCAGTCCTTCGAAACCATCCGTTGGTATTTACTTTCTTCCATAGTTCCTGAAAATCAAATGTACAATTTGGAAGACATCAATGCAGGCCTCCACTAGTAATATTTGGAATAACTTTAATTTGGCTTGTGTAGTAGCCAGGTTAAAAGAAGATATTGTGAAGGTTTTGGACTATACATTCAATTCTCTCTTTCTAATATTACAAGAAAACAAGTAAATTACATGAAACTGAGCACTAAATAAAGCGAATTCTAGAATGCACCTGAAGCCACCAGTCTGTAAACATGCACAGCATTGCGCTGTCCTATGCGGAATGCACGATGAATGGCCTGTCGTATCACAGCAGGGTTCCAAAGAACATCCATGAAAACAACACGAGAAGCTCCAGTAAGAGTGATGCCTTCCCCACAGGCTTTGGTTGATGCCAGCAAGACACGGATCTTCCCTTTACGATCGTTGAACCTCTCGATAATGCTTTGCCTCTCATCTGGATCGACCTTCCCGTCAAGTTGCAGAATTTCTTGTTCCCGAACCCAGCCGAATTCGTTTTTCAACATCTCTTCTAGAAGTATGAAAGGGACTAAATTCTGACAAAAAATGAGGATTTTCTCTTGTCCGTATCTTAACTGATTCAATAAGTTAATTACAAACCGTGTCTTCACTCCTACTTCAGGGTCTCGATTGGTGGCTACTTCGTTCATCTCCTGCACAACGATTGAGATGTTATCCATCCAGCTTATGATACGACTTAAATTTAAAGTGGAAAATTGTTAGTGCCAGTTCGAAAAGTGACACAAGGCACAAGAAAAAACGAGGTAGTTGCAAATCGTACTTCATTTCACCAACTTTGTTCATTGGTACACATTTTTCCGCGACTTCAATTCCTAACCTCGCAAAGATATCTAAGGGTTCAATGTTGACACTACCTCTTGTGACAGCAGGTCGGTGAGGGCTTTTCCAACATTATGTTCTAAGAACAAGCTTGGATGGATACAGATCAAAGACAGTAAGCACTCTCTTTCCAGCATAGTCTTATCCTCCAGTCTTCTTGTCACACTTTGAACCAACTTCACTTGCAAAGCCGTAGGTTGCAACATTATGGCAAAGTCTCGAAGTGGAGGAAGGTCCCGCAAAACACCGCCTTTGTAATGATGTATAAAGGGACTAGTTAACCGGCGCAGCTGTTCGAGACCTTGAGCCAAGCTCCCTGGAGAGAGCTCGCCCTTTTGTCCTTTGTCAATTTTGTTACCAACCTCCTCCATGAATAATTTCTTTGCTTGAACTTCTGCAGCTTTAGCTGCTTTTTCCTTCCATTCTGCTGTATGGTGCTCGACCTCATCGTCACCCTTCAGTTCAATTTCCTGCAAACGATGTTGGCAGCCCTTTACAGCATTTTACCTTAATGAACTATGCATGCCCCCAACTTGAAAAAAAGGAAGGAGACAATGAAAAAGCTACATGCTAACACAACAATAGCTTAACAACAATAAAATTCGGCTTACATATGAAGCAATGCAGGTGACCAGCTATTTCCTTCACCAGAATATCTAAGAATTTATATGGAGATATTGTATGAAGGGGAAGTGAGCCGATACAAACAAAACATTGTAATCAACACTAATCAGAATAATAACTGTTTAGAAAACACGCATGAGAAAAAAAATATTACCTGCTGAATATTGAACTTAAGTCCCGCATCCTTTGCATATGTTTTTACGAATCCAGACCGCACAAGATTAAGGGACGTGTACAGCTCCTCAAAGTTGTTTTGAAACAGAGTGCCTGTTAATAAACAAATAAATCTAAGAAATATGAGTAACATAAAGAGACGTTCAGGACCTCATGCGGTGGTAGAACGTTTTGCGATCATAACAGCATGCAGTTCCTACGAGAAAGTCACCAAACTTTGTGGGGCAACATTCTTAAATGGAAAAATTAAAATTAAAAATAGATCCCTGTTTTAGAAAATAATAACAACAAATAATAAAATATCTGTGACGAACCTGACAACATTATCCGCAGTGGAGTCTTGACAGCCATCAGCGGTTTCAGAATTTGAGCTCGACTGTTTCGAGCAAAATGACCTTCATCAAGCACCAGAATATGGGGACGCTCTAGGAGTATAGTCCTCACTGTGGAGGACGTCATTCGTTCTTGTGTAGTCATTAAAGCGAACATTGAGTAACTTATGACTAGAACGCTTGGTGTCTTGGTCCATTGCCAGAGCATTGCCTGTCAAATACTTGTCAAAAATAAGGGTTACGTTTAGAATTAATTGAGCATTAACTTCCCCTTTTAGTGCTGCGCACTCACATTCACTTAGAAGGGCATTTGATTCCATACTGTAAATACTCAAGTACCTCGCGACAGGCATTCATGGACCGCTGCTTCTTCCATCGTCCTCCACTGTTTAATTGAACATCTCCAGCTTCCTCATGCTGTTGAAGAAATATTCGCCCTTGTTCAGCTGCTTTATTGAAGTTGTACACAGGAATACCCACATTCCATTTCCTGAATTCTCTCTCCCATGGCTGCAGCATGATCTTTGGTGCGACTATAACCGGTCGACAATGTGGGTACTTCTGAAAGCATAGAGAAAAAAAAATAGATATCTTGCATCAGCCTCTTCTGGCAGCCCAAACAAGAAGACCAACTATTTTTGATCGAACACTGAGAACCGCGCTCAGAAAGTACAATTCAGCAACAATGTACACGCACTGGAGGAATGCCCCAATATCGACGACGAGGAGAGGGGAATTGAGTCTGACCTTTATGTAGCTGTGCAGGAAGCTGATGATCAGAAAAGTTTTACCAGTGCCAGGAGCATGAGAGATAACACATCCTCCTGGCTCTCTTGGTGGAAAACAGGGATTTCCATTAGCATCCTGTCCAGCCAAGTTACGCCATAAAAACTGAAATCCATGCTTTTGATGCCTTTGCATGTGCTTGGCAAGCTCAGGAATCAATTCAAAATTTGAGCCTTTTTCGATACTATCCTGTTGTTTGTGACTGAGGTCTTCAAAATCCCAGGAAGCAAGCATGTTTTCATCATAAATATCCTCATCGTTGTCCTTCGTTGCTGTAATCCTTTTAGCATTCTGAAAGCAACACCACGTTGTAAGAAGAAAGAGAAAAGACGCGTTCAAAAAAAGAAATAAGACTCAGATGCGAGTACATAAATCCGAAAGAAGCTTCCAATTTTGCTGAGGTGTTTGGCAAATGAGGCGTTTTCGGTCTCATACATAGTGTGCTAAAGAAACTTGCTCGGAAACAAAATCAAACTGAGAGTTGTGGACAATATCCACACCAGCACAACAATACATCACAGAGGAATATTCTAAATGAACAGAACATAACATGTACCAGTGTGCCTTTCATTGAGTACCTGCAAACATAAATTAATATGAATCAACACTTTAGAAGGCAACGAAGCATGGCAGTATAGAAAGATGATCTTACATCACGCTCCCACATATTCTCTATTTCTAGAAGAACATTTCCACACACTGCACAGACGATCCCAACTTCTTGATCAAATATGACAGCATGCTCCTGACATTTACTTCCATCGGGATTTTCACATTCAGCAATCAAACTGGTAGAATCCGGTGATTTCTCATCCATCGCTCCATTGACCTTGTTCAAAGCAACAAGTCCACGTCAGATCATATTACATCCACAAAATTTAACCTGCAGCTTAATCGAGAATCGTAGTAGCTACGCTAACGTCATTATAAAAGGACCAGAATGTCATATACCCCTAGACCTCTATGCTAGCATGACCAACTATGTATACTACATGTGACACGGGGCTTACAATTGGATAAAACAATCATAAGAACATTGTAAAACCAAAACCACGCGTAGTTCAAACGGCACAATGATCTCTGGTAATTTACACATCAGTTTACATACCTTTTTACAACTTTCCTGTGCAGCACGCATTTCTTCCCATACATATGCAAGTGGATCATCTTGCACTTCCTGCAGCAGTGTTGGACCCACCGCATTCATCAAGGGATTCCATGAAGGTGACAAACCCATCCCCTCAGCTTCGGAAACCTTCTCTTCAGCAATATAACAGTGAACCGGATCCACGGTCTCGAATAACTCAGCGTAGGTGATCTCTTTCTCAACATTTCTCGGACCAGCAATAGTACCAACTCTCTTCGGCCGTTTTGCCTTTGGCAAGCAAGTCTGACGTAACAGCTTAAAACATCAGAGAGACCACACAAGTCTAAGCTAAGATATTCGAAATATCTACTTAGAACTGGTAAAGCAAACACAACCAATCGATTCTACGTCAAGCCTGCCTTTCTACACTTATACTAGTGGTGTATCGAACACATCCCACCGAGCCTGCACCAATGCACACTCTGATACAAATCGGCAAGCAATAAATTGTTGAATAGCAACCTGCTTAAGAAGGCCAGTCTTGGATCCATCCTTTGACCGTGCTAGAATATCGGGCATGACGGGACTCACAGTCAAGGGGTGGCCTTTTAGATCGTCAGCGAATTCCTTCACCCCCATTGTATCAATGTTATTAAGACGTTTACCACCTTTAACAGATGGCCTGATAAGAGCCATGCCAAGGGTTTCAAACTGTTCGGATGCATAAACTTTCACTTGCTCTTTCACAGCATTATTTAAACAACCCTGCTCAGGACATTGCTGTCCAGCACGAGAAAGGAGTTTCTTTTTGGGCCTTCCTTGAGTCTGGAATCTTGATGTAAAAGGAGGATTGAGGTTTTCCCTACACGTAGTTTGATTATTCACTAAACGACGCTTAGCAACACGACTTCCAGCAATGGTTCGTTCTATGTAATCTGCATTGACATGTTCGTCAGAATTCTCAGAGAATGTAGCAGGTTCAACAATCGGGGAGGTCTCTGGACCGAAAGGAACATCCCGAAAAGAAGGCAAGGGCGATGACATATCTGATGTAACGGACATCGGCTTCAGGGGACTTTGGCCTCCTGGTTTTGAGAAAGGAATTTTAGATAATACCAATTCATCCAGGTCCTCGTCAGAATTTCCTGAAGTCTCAGCGGTGTTCGAAACATCTTCCAGCTTCTCAGAACTTTGTTCCATTTCATCGCTAGAGTATCTCTCTATAAATGCAAAGTCAGGCATTTCAGTCGTATCCTCTTTTTGAGGAATCGTCTTAGGAACTACTTCTTCAACATCTGTTTCGTCATTGATATCAAAGACAATAGGTTGCGTTTTGGAAGCATTAAGCACGGGAAAAGGCTTGACTCCATCTCTTGACGGTGGAACGGGCGCATGGAAGCTGTTCCCTGACAAAAGAATCACATCATCCTCATCACTTACTTCACCCCCTGATGCTGGAATGGGAGCATAAGAGTTGGGCACTGGCGAAACAATAAGATCATCTTCATCCTTCCCATCAGAAAGTATGATGCCTTCCTCTGCGAGAAAAGAGTCAAAAGACACCAAAGGCAGTGAGCCTGGAACCGATGTAGGTTCTTCAGGGCCCTGAGAAAGTGATGGGCCTGAGTTCCCTCCAGCTACTCTGCTCTCGAAGGACAAACTACGGCGCCTGGATGTGTCACTGTAATCACAAAAAGAGGAGCACCAAAGTATTCCATCCTTCGCCCAAACCCTAGGAATGTTTGTCACGCTGGGTAAAGAGGCTGAAACAACTTGTTGAAAAGTTATACCCCTTGCTTCCCTCATAATATGCATTTCTCCTAGACCTACAGGTTTTGCATAATTTGGCAAAAGTAGTCTCTCTCTATGATTACATGGAAGAGTTGTTGGTATGGTGTAGAGGGCTATCTGGAAGAAGCACTTGCATGTTTTGGGGGTATGTTGCTTTCTGGTCACGTCGACTACCTTTGCATCGTACCACGCCTGTTTTGCACAAGTATAATAGTATCGATAAGAAACTAAGTTGACTCGTACATTCAGCTGTGCACTCCACGGGGTAGAAATGAATGCGTCAATATCATCAATACTTGCAAATATAAACTACCAGGAGGTCACATTTCGGGATACTCCAAAGCTTGAATATGTCAGAAGGAAGATAAAAGGAGGATGAGGAGGGTGAGACATACCCGTGAGCTTTCGTTCGCATGCGGATGTTGACTCATCACGCACACGTCAACCCCAGGTTTGATCCCATCACAGTCCAACAATTGTGAAGTCCTCGACCGCATTCGGAGATGGCCAAAAGGTACCCACTGAACAATTTGGTTGCCAAATTTCACATAATGGACGTAGTATTTATCACGATTCTTCTTCAAAATTTCGACATCCCACCATGACCCGTTACTATATGCTTCCAAAACTGTCCAAAAACTCACACGATGGAATTAAAAATCAATGTACAAGGCAGGTATTGAGTTCGCTACAAAGAAATGTACCAAAATTGCCACCTGGAAAGATTTTCAACATTCTAGTTAGGAGATGATTTCTTACGCGGTTTAGTACTAGTATCAGCACTAGTATTTTTCGGAGTAACTTTTTTTCTTCTGTCATCATAACAGCTATCACGGGTGCAGTCGTCAGGGTCATGCTGCCAAGAAGAATTATTCTTTCCCTTCCTCCACTGCGTGGATGTACCCACTGCAGAGGCGTTTGGGAACGGCATAACGCAAGAGATTCGCGAGGAAGACTCCACAGATGTAGAGCACTCGCCACTGCCCCGCTCTTGTCTTGGCAATAACCGTCCCCTTCCGGTCCCTTCTCTTCTCGCCATGGCTAACCTAGAAGACGGGAATTGGAACCACTGCTTCAAAAGGAAATGGAAAAGATAATCTAAGAGCTTGAAGATACGTTAAATAATTCCTCCAACAACGGATGAATAGCTATAATTCTCATACGTATATGGCAATGTGTCTCATGCGGGAATCTAGAATGAAGAAAAGACACGCACCTGTCATCCGTGAGAGGCAGGCAGGCACATATTGAAGGTGCTTTTGTATCAGCGCTCACTAAGATTCGTGCGACTTACTAACGTAAAACTCGCCATCATGTTCCCCATCCGTGTTACAGTTGAAATTGAAGGAACTCTGCCTCTGCATTTTTCGTCTATCAGAGAAAAATGTGATCACCATACCTCCAGCACCTGCAGAAGATGAAGTGTTTCAACTGAGTGGAAAACAACGTGACTAGAGCGTAAATGACAGCTGCTGCCTATTGCAAAATCATAGTTATTCTCTATAGAAGTGAGGATAAAGCTGCGAATAACTGCGAGCCCTCATGAGGAGAGAGTCAGAAACCTTGAATACTTTAGAGCAATGACATACTGCTTCATCAAACTCAACGATGTGAAAGATCAACAACTTAATTTCGTAACATAACAAGCACAGAATGTCACTAAATGATATATGTTTATTTCATGTGCTACAACAAAACTTGAAAGCTCTCTTCGGAAGTACTGTGAGCAGCTCCATGAAGTGGTCAATTCGCGTCAACACTCTCAAAGCATCGACGTCATTCAACTCTCCAAAATTTATCCTCAACCCTCAAACCTACACTCATGATTGCGAAATTACGCATGCATTCACCCCCCGCTCACTTTAAAGGAAGGCAAGATACGACACCCTCACACTGCCTTCAAACGATTTGAAAAACTGCAACAAATCACATGAAAAATCATACCGAATTCCGCAACGCCTCCGCGGGAGAATCTGCTACAAGAATTAGACACAAGCAAACAGAGGCGCAATCCCAGCAGCCTGTATTCCTGCTCCAGCCACCGGACGCATCAAGAAAACACAGTTGAAGCCCGAAATGCATTTTACGGCGCCTCCGGTTCTCTGAATCAAAGGTGCGCGCACGATCAGAAGTTGCAGAATTCGGAGAACTGCAACAGCACAAATTAGTTCCTATCTTGATCACTCCCTCGCTCTCTCCATCTATCTCTCTCGCCGTGTCTCTCTTCCTCCCTTAGCTCCTCGAGCTACGACTTGCTCCTCCACCGAAGTACGCCTTGTTTTCCCCCCCCCCCCCCCCCCACCATCCTACTCCGTCCTCAACTAAATTTGGGGGCATCGTCGAGGTCCTGCTTCAGATGACAATTGAGGTCGTCGCTTTATGTCGCTTCCATCGCCTCTGGAATATGTGGAAGTATTCTCGAGAATCATAGTACGAAACTCATGGATACGGTCGATCTGGAGAAGTATACGTATTGAATATGTAGAGGATTGCTACTGTCATCACAGTTTTTGAGAAGGCCACCACAATCCACCATCTGCTCATCATATTTATTTTTTATTTTTGATTCCAATCATAAAAAATATTATTATTATTATTATTATATATACATATACACACACACATACACCTAAAAATTATATTAAAAAATAATCAATTAATAATTAATATATATGATAGAAAATAAATAAATAAACAAATATGACAAATAGTGTAGAAGGCATGTGGTGGTAGTAACAAAAACTATGGTGGCATTAGTACTACCCACAATATATTACAAGTATGATAATGTGACAACATCTAACTGAGGAAGGGCATTTGCAATGTAGTTGAGTTTGTTGTTAATTTCTTCATACCAGAATTATATATTCCCTTGTATTAGAGAGAGTTGTGATCTTTTTAGTTGTCTAGATAATAAAGCATTTTATTTTATTTAAAATTAAGAGCATAAACCTTCATAAATTGTGATTTATAAAGAATCAAAGACATGAAATGGAAGTGGTTTTACAAAATTTAATGCTTAAATATTAGTGTTTTATTATTTGAAGTTTGAAACCAATATTTCACATTGATTTTCTACTAAGAAATTATTTTCAGGACATTCATAATGGATAAAAAAAAATCTTTGAAAAAAATTTGTTAAATAAATAAATCAAAATAATATATTTGTATTCAAAGTAAAGTTCTAATGAAACAATAACTAGATATAAATGCAATAACCCAATTATTATTTATCATAATTGGTATTTAAAACATAATCTCAAATACTATATTTTTATTCAGGTAGCATTAAAGTAAAAATTTAATTATTTTTATATTATTTTTTGTTATTAGAATTATTTTAATTATATACACATATACCTCTATATGTTTAGTATTTATAGGATATTGCTATTGCCACCGCATGCCATTATAGTTTTTGCTATTGCTATCATAACTTGCCATCTACAACATGCTACTCATATCCTTTGTCAATGCTAAATAAAATAAAAAAAATAAATTAATTATCTATATTTATATTCCTATACTTAAATATTTATGATATTTTAAAAATAGCAATAATTTATTATCACTGGTTATTTTAGCACCAATATATGTATATATTTCTAATAATATAATTTATTATTTTTATTAAAATTTATTTCTATATAACTTGAAAAGAAGGAAATGTATTTGTAATATTAATAAATTTTTAAATTAAAATAAAAAACTAAAAAAAATGTCAAGTGGGTGGTGGATTGTGGTGGGCTACAGCTACAATTGTGGTGACATTAACAATACCCTAACTACATACTTTTTTTTCCTTCATGAATGAATAATTATTATATTTTTAAATTTTACATGTTGTTTGAGTTGAAATGGATGACAAAGTTTTTTTTTTTTTCTTAATTATTTTTTGGTAATCTAGGTTTATTTTACATATAAATTCAAAAAATACATGGAATATATTTAGGAGCTCGACGAAGTGAAGAAATAACAATATATATATATATATATATATATATATATCTCTAAGGAAATAAAATTAAACCACAGTAACAAAATTACCTCTATGTCATTTTTCGGAGATTAAACTTCGAGGAGTTCAGAATTGGGCTCTGGTACAGTAGGATTGATACTCCCTCGATATTATATACCCTGTATATATCCTTTTGAATGCCTTCTCCGAGCTTGCACTAGTTTGCTCCTAGTGAACCCTAAACCCTGGTTGCCGAAGGCGGCGTTTGTGCATGCAGAGCTCGCGTTTGAAACCATCGCCACGATAACGGTGTTGGTTCTTCCGTGCTCCCGGAATAAGCAGCACTGTTTGCGTCGCTGCTTCGAGTCTTTCCTGCTGATTTGTAAGTATTAGTTGCGTATTCAATCCTCAGCCGAATTCCGTGAGAATTCGGGTATGTGATTCTTCATTGGATTGTGTTTGGTTTCCGAATAGAATCGCAGTGAGGTTGAGAAGAGGGAATCATTTTGACGTGATTATTTGTCACTTGAAATCTGTTTTATCCAGTTGTGACTGGGATGAACAATTCGTGTCTACTGCTTTTCTTCCCTTTCTCTCTCTGTCTGTCTCCTCCTCCTCCTCCTCCTTCTTCTTATTCTTATTTTTCTGGTTGTAATCGAGGAACATAGGGGTTTTATGGTTAAGTGTAAGGATAGTACTGGTGCGGACCTCGTTGTATCAATCGTGTTGGTTCTCTGTTGTCGCTTGCTGATGATGTGTTCGTGTAAAATGTATTCACCCCAGGATTTTCTGTTTAGTTGGTGAGAAGAAGATATGGATCCCTTTTCATCGCCACCGCCATCAGGATCAGGATTAGGAGTATCAAATGAGGTGATGATGGGCCAAGTGAAGCAGCAACTCGCGCAGGCGTATGCGGAGGAGTTTTTTGGGGTAAGATTTTTCGGATGACTTCTGCATGGTTTATTATATTTCTCCCTCTATGTTAATTCGGAGGTCATTTTAAGAAGCAATTTTTTTTTTTTTTTTTTTTCCTCAGTACCTTCGTCTCATCTTTCAAGCTCCCTGAGGGTACTGGTAGTGGTGATGGTGTGATGACGTCTGTGACCTTTCTTTTGTATTGATAAAAATACTGGTGAATTCATTTTTAGAGTATGTGAGGTTTTGACCTAAAGTATGTCGGGTAGTTTTAACAAAATTTTGGAATTCACATCTGTGAAGTTGTCTTTCTGGAGTATAAGCTGAAAGCGTGGCAATGTGCTGCTTTTAACTTGATGTTTGATCTGCTAGCTCTGTCGTGTCCTCATGTTACTTACAGAGGTCTTTGAAATTCTCGATATATTCATGTTACCCTTAAACCACGGCAGACAGTTGTAGTTGTAACGTCGCATGTGGACGAAGTAGGATGGTTTCTCTGTTTTTTTTTTTTTTTTTTTTTTTATTGCTTGGTAATAATTTGAACGTTTTTAGCTTAATCTATGCATTTAAAGCTCAAGAACTTAGTGTAACAAAGATGGTTTGATAATAGTGCAGTGTAAGTTACCAAAAGTGAAACCCGAAAGCTTTTGAAAACACTCGATTGTTCCATAAACGCTGCAATTTAGTCCTCAATATTCACAATTGACATCTGATAAAGAATTTCACATGTTTACTCAGTAATCCGTATGTTGTGGATCAGTCCTTTTTGTGGAAATGGATTGAATTTGGGACATCCATGAATTAGAGAGAAACAATAAAAGCTCGTCCTACCTACCGATTGCAAAGATCATGCGATGTACGAATTAGGCACAGTGAGTTCTGAGGCAGCCTTAAGTGAATTACTACGAACAAAGATCAATCAAGTGCATGTCATGGAGAACATGAGGATGTCTACAGCAAAAGCAAAATTTTGACGCAGAGCATCGTACGAATGTTTCACATGGGAGTTTTAGACAGATCGACATCCTGAATTTCACATTGACGAACTCCTTCACAAACTTTATTTTGAGTGCAAGTCATTGTAGATGAACGGGATTTAATTGGGTTGCAGCAGAATGTAGATGTTTTCTTTCTCCAAGTCTTCCAAATATTCGTTGATCCACTGACAAATATAATTGATTGGCGTGTGCATGGCAGACAGTTAGGGACAAGTGTTTCAGCAAGTGTGTGACTAAACCAAGCTCCAGTTTGAGCGGTGGAGAAAGCAGCTGCATATCAAGATGCGTGGAACGTTACATTGAAGCCACTGGAATTATTAGTCGAGCTGTAATATCTTCTCTTCCACGATAGCTTTCCTGACAAGTTTTCTGTCTTCTAGACAAACCCGTTGTCTTGTGACTTCGTTCATATAGATTTTAATTATTTGGGATCGGAAATACCAGGAAAGAAGGATTTGTCTCTATTCAGCCACACCTGCATGAGATGTGGTTTTGATAATACAGCTGAATGAGCCTCACTTGATTTTTTTTTCGCAGAGCACGTTGCTTGTTCTCTGATTCACAGCGTGGCATCTTTGTTGCACTCACAAACCTAAACACATGATCATCGTCCTATTCTGTGTTTGCATGGCCTTTGGAAGAAAGAGCTTTTACCAGTTTAGTCGTATGTTTTCAAGTATTTGTACTAAAATTCCACACCTGGTTGGGTTGCTCCTGAATCCTGACACATTTGTTCTTGTTCTTCGACGTTAATACTGAAGCATCTTCAGTATTTCAGATAATAGAAGGTGATAAAACTCGAACATCTGACGATATGAGCAAATCAGACTTTTGTCAGTAGACCCCTACGAGATTCAGCGAGCGAATCCTCTCTAATCTTCCTTGTTAGACCAGCATCGGTTACATGGTGAATCCTTCGTGGTTAGGAATTGCGGGCTCTACGAATCGATATCTCTCGGACTGACCAGAACCATCTTGCTCTGCACCGATGCACATTGTGACAGAAGTATAGTTCACTCGCTGTGTTGCATTGTTTGATTGGAAGTTGCACTCCTATTTTGCTTTCGAACTCATTTTCGGTTTTCTATGGACACGCCCTAAATTTATATCGACAATCATGCAACCCCCGGTTTACTTTTCAGGACTTTAAGTTCTTGCTTCACTATCATAAATGTGTATATGTGATGAGAACAGCATTCGGTTTCTCCTGAAGCTGAAACTCACTACAATTCTGCAGAGCCTGTGATTGGTACAAGTTGCAGCATCTTTCTAAGACCACCGAGAGACGAGGAGCATCGTTGTAAATGCAGGTTGTACAATTTGGTGTTGTCCGCATCAAGCGCTTCAGAAACTCGTGCATGCCGCCGTCAACTCCAAAGTCGATACGACAAAACTCTACTTCGGTGGAGATCTCAGCTTTCAATGAAAAGTTACACAAGCTCATTGGTCAATGCGGCCATTTCTTTGTCCATGTGATTATCCATTGTGTGGAGGCATGCAAGCAGATAAACCCACATCAGTTGTTGATCCATAAACCTACTAGCACGCATTCCTTCAAAAAAATTCATGCAGTGCACAAGACGAAAATTCTTATCTTATGCCCTTACAACCTAGAGTATATAGTAGACTTAAGGGCAAGAAAGTATGATACAAAGAGTGCTCAAAATCTTAGTAAATGTTCTATCAACTAGAAATCTCTTTCATCATAGACTATTAGACTTGAATATGGCACTCTTGAATTTCAACACATTTTCATGTTTATTCTAATTTCTAGAATGTTTTCGGCAATTTATGATTTATCCCATTTCCTATTAAATATACTTATTTAATCACTATCCTTTGATGCCAAATTATTTACATTAATATTGCAAAATCTAATTACCATTTATGTCAATTATCTTTTTCATTACTATTTAAATCTTATTTTTTAAATCATTGGTCTTTTCATTACTAGTCTACATTTTACAAAAAAAATTAAAACTGAACTCTTTAAGATGAGAAGTTCAAATAATACATCTGGAAAACAATACTATGATTGAATTTTTAAGATCAATAAAGAAAAATCTTTCTAAAAAATTATATATATATTTTTTAGTTTCTAACATACTTTCTTACTTTTTTAAAATAGATAAATAACTTGGATTCATTCCAAAGATTTTTTTTCTAATTTTCTTAATTTTTTATAATATTTAAAAATAACCTATTCAAATGAATAAAAAATATTTAAAAAAAAGAAATACAATACATATTGTAATAATTCTTTAAACCACATTTACTTTCAATTAATATCAAAAGTCAGATTTCTTCTTCATTCTATCAATTAAAGACTAATTTTCAATCCAAGTATTGAAAAATAAATCACAAGAAGCAAGTTAATATTATAAGTTGATTTTTTTATTTATCCAAATCAATTATCATATTATGGAATTTGGATATTATTATGTTGCTAATATTTGATCAACTTGGACCAATCACTTAATGAATCAAATATTTATTATTATTATAATAATAATAATTATTTTATACTCAATAAAAAAATCATATATAAATTATCTTAGAATTTGTCGATTTTTACCTCCAAAAAATATAATGCTATGGACATTCTAATTCATAACAATATTATTATTAAAAATATTTGAATTTATTTGCATTTAATTGATAAATATAGAAATAAGACAACATGATATTTTTTATATACTTTTAAAATATAAGTTCTTTAATATTAAAAATATTAATCAATATTTTTCTTTTGTATTTTGAAATGTTAAATTTAAATATATACTTAATTATGAGTAAAAGCTAAAAGCAATTGTATCTTTTATAAGAACTTAAAAAAAATTATTATATTTTTAAAAATTATTATATTTTTAAAAATTATTATATTTTTAAAAATTATTATATTTTTAAAAATTATTATATTTTTTAAAAATTATTATATTTTTTAAAAATATCTTATTTTAATAAATAAATTAAAAAATATATTTTAAAAAAAACTTAATCTAGAAAATAGTTTTTAAGTAATTAAATTTTTATTGAGTATAAATCTAAAAAATAAAATTATTATTTAATTAAGATTTATTACTTCAATAGCTACCAAATATATGTACACATATACATATTGTATTACATTTTTTCTATCAAGTAAAGTAATAGAATATCAATTGTCTAAGGTTTTTTTTTCTACATTTCTAGAAAAGAATAGTATTACTATTTTTAATGTTTTAACAATCAATTAATTTAGTATGCATGAAAATATTCTCCAAAAATAATCTAATTTTTTTTTTCAAGAATTTTTTTTTAACATCCATTATATATATATATATATATATATATATATATAAGTTTGAATTCACATCAAGTTATAAGTTTAGTAAGGTTAATGTTCATATAGTTTTTCACCTTGTTCTAAACAATACTTAACAAACAATTGATATATTTTACATTTTCAGCATAATCTCTTTATTTTTTTATACTATCGTGTAGTGATCATAATATATCTATTCCAATTTGAATTCACTTTTAGATTTTTTTCTTAGATATTTTAGAATTTAGTGTTACAAATATATATATTTATTTCAATAATTATCCATGTAATTAAGTAGAAGTAGATAAATATAGATTGATTTCATAATATCTTCTATAAAAGCTACCTAGAAGCTTCATAAAAGCAATTTTGACTTCACATGTATTTATAGTTGATTGATAGGTTAAAAACTTAGTCAATAAGTTAACCATGTATCATATATATTGGTAGCTTGTAGAACAAGCTAACTATATGGCGCACATATAAAAAACTTGCCTTGCAAGTTAAGACATATGTCTAGTAAAGTCATTACATGTTGGAGGTTTTATAAAACATCACCACATAGCTCCTAATTAAATAGTATATATAGAGATAAGAATGAAGCCTCCTTCACTCTTGTAAATGCCTTTCTAATCCTTAGTTTTATTACAAGACTTTCTAATCTTCTTATCTGTGGTAATAGTCATTTTAATTCAATATTTTACCATCTTTGAGTGATTTTCGAAGACTTTTTGAGTGATAAAAGAATATATTGTAGTTTTTATTTTTTTATTTTTTTATTTTTTTATTTTTAAGATTCATGATTTAAAAAATTTAACAAGAATATTAATTCATTGTTCTTATCTTTTTTTAGAAGTGAAAGGATTATCTCACTTATATTATTATTTTTTGAAGGTTATAAACTATCTACTTTTCAATAAACAATTTAGTTTTCTAATACTAATTTTTTCTTTAAAGATAATAGATCATTATTTTTTATGGAAATTTTTATTTGATATTAAAGGTTGCAAATTATCTTTCTTTAATTTAATTTTTTCAAATTTATTTGAATTATTTATAAAAGAAAAGATTACGGATGTTACTCTTAGCAAAAATGAGAATAGATTTGCAACTATTGCAGATCTTTATAAGCTTGTTAACATTCTAAGAATAAAAATCTTACGTATTTCCAAAGTAAATTATGAAGGTACTATTCCTATATATATGGAAGAAGTCCAAAGTCTATGCCTAAAAGTTATGTAATTGAAGAAAGCAAGTAGATCAGCATTACAATCAAATTTAAAAAAATTTACTTTTACAAGTATAAAAGAGATAAGGATTAATATGCCGAGAAGTTTGATGGAATAAGATCAAAATTTTGAGGATTTTTGCAATAAGTTAAGCTCTATTTAAAATTGTATCTTTTCTAATATCTTGATAGATTTACTCAAATTAGATTCATAGATGCACCTCTATCAAGAAGTGCTCTTTTTTGGTTTGCACCTTTGATAGAAAAAGTTTTGCAACTATTCAATGATTTGAATTCATTTTAATAAGTATTTATAGCTATATTTGGAGAAATTGATTGAAAAAAGATAGTAGAGATCAAGATTATATTGCTATGACAAGCATCATGTTTAGCTACTACATATGCTATTGAATTCGAAAATCTTGCTTGTAATGTGGATTGCAATGAAAAAGTCTTTTTCATTCAATTTTGATATGAATTAAAAAGTAATATCAAATATTTATTATTAACAATGTGAAGAACAAATTAATTGAAGCAATTTACTACTAAAGCCATTGTATGTAACAATCAACTCTTTAAAAAATGCTAGAAATAAAGATTTAAATAGAGAAGTATAAGTCAAGCCATAGGAATGCCTTTTAAGTTTTAGAAGCTTATTTCTCAAGGCTAAAGCCTATACAAATTGATATGGTACATTTTAAATTTCTTACTAAGCAAAAAAAGATTCATCATCTTTAAGAAGATTTATGCTTATATTAAAGAAAATCCAAGCACACTGCCCAATATTATCCAAAGAAGCAATGCAATCACAAAATGAGGACCATGATTTTACCAAAGAGGATAATGTGCCATAAAATGAGTTTTTCTAACTAAAATACAAACCTTGTAATTGAAATATTATGTAATTTCTTGTAAAGGTCATATTTTCACTACAGATCTCTCACTTTATTTTATAATAGAAATTTATTTAGGACCAAAAAATCACA